TGGTAATCTTGTTGTTGATGCAGACTGCAGCATAGTTGTTGTTGTTGACATATATATTAGCAAAGTTAATGAATATAAGTTGCTGCACTTGTTTTAAAATATGTGTTACTGATTTGTTAGTTGGTCTCAGTTATAGAATAATCTCTCACTTGTTTCTGAAGGGAAGGAATAGCGTCCAGATCAGTCCTTGGAAATTTTTCCTCTTTTTTGGTTTAACCTTTACAATGTTTGGGGGAGTGGGGAATCACCACTCAAGACCTTGACTTGAAGGAATGGTGCACCTACCAGTTGGCCCAAGAGGCCAGGTGCCACTGGAATTTTTTTCTAAGGTACACTTTTGACCTTATATGTTACTGGACTCATTTAAATCCTTATATTTCTATCAATTTCAAATGAAGCCTTTTATTTCAATTGGTGTTCAAATTAGCTCAAATTTGAATATTTTTTGCTCCCGACAGGTTCAATTGGACAAAAACAATCTCTTTGGGCATATTTGTATGGTAGTAAATATTTTTGGGTCTTATCATCCATATGAGCTGTCGGGCTTGATTATAAGGGCTCAAGTAGAGTTAGACTTGCGTCCGCTCAATCCTTTTTTTCCATTTGTGGGGTCTCAACAAGGATCTGATCCAGTAACATTTTTTCTTAAGAATCTCGAAATCTAAAACAGAAAGATCCATGGTGCCAAGAAAGAAACAAAAATTCAGTCTAAAAGGAATTTTTTTTTCTTAGGTTGGCTAAAAAATTTCTTTAAAACATCAGATACTCCCAATTGAGTATTATTTCTAGTATTATATTAACGATGTAGGTGGAACACATGTGACAGTGTCCTTAAAAGCAATAAATAGTTCTTTCCTGAAGTTTCCTTGAAAATCATGTAGCTTTGCCTCTCTAGAATCATGATGCAGGCATGCTGGGGTTTTTCGGTTGGTTTAATTTTGAGGGCATTTTGTTTTTGCAGGAAACAACGGTCCCCGAACTTGGGTGACAAAAAGTTAAAGCACACTGTTCTCAAAGGAAAGCAAGTTTGACGCCAATCACACAATCAACAAGCAATAGTTTTATGCACTATCACTTACACAACCAATCACACATTCGGCTAAATTTAACAAATCATCTACTAATAGGTATTTCTTAATCTACTATTAATTGAGTAAAAATTACCCTAGTAACTATTATGAAATACTGTTTTTAAATTTCTTAATTAACTATTAACTGTCGACTGATATGTATTGGGATTTTACCGTATTTTCACTTGAACCTTCATCGGTGATAATAGCGTCACTATCATTCATGTTTTCTTCTTCGGTTTCCTGAAGCTGCAATGTGTACTCCAATGCCCGCACGATATCCCTCATTGTCGGACGTTCATTTCCACGTTCATGAAGACAATTCTCCGCGATCTCACCGAACTTCTGCAAGGCCACCGGCGCAATCTGGCCTGCCAGATACGGGTCCACGATTTCATCAAGGCTTCCATTTTGACAACAACTAGGGGCCCATTGGGCCAGGCCCACT